ATTGTCCTTTTAATTTCTCTAAAGTCTAAGAAGATACAATGTAAAAGCCAATCCTTTTTGTTCTTATCTTTCCACTGTTTTCAATAACTTTTTTTCTAATTGTTCCATGTTCTCTGCTCAAATCTATTTCCCAAATATGTAGATTTTCCTTTGAGATTATATCTCATACAACCCATATAATTCTCTTCTCTCTCTCTCTCTCTCTATATATATATATATATATATATATATATATATATATATATATATTAAAGAAAAAAACTAGACCACTTTAAGGTTCCATTATAATAATTTATTTCACCAGAGCCCTTTTAAAGGACGCCGGATCATCAGATAGCACTTCTAAAAATGAAACGAAAAATGAAATGAAAATTGATGAGTAGTATAAGTTTTGTAATTTAACAGAGAGTGTAATAAGGAGTCTTTTAAAGAGACATTTAGAGTTTAGGAGGTTTAATTTCATATCTCTCTCAATCATACTTAGTATTGGGGAGGAGGAGGACCAGACCTTGACCTATTTAAATGGTTAACTTAACGGAAGTGCTATATTGAAATGGTAGGTGAGCAGAGAGAAAAGAAAAAGGAAAAAGGAAAAAAAAAGAAAGAGAAAGAGGCTGTAAATGGGTTTTACATATGGAGGAGATGGTTGGTAAGTTTTAGCAATTTATGTAAAAAATAGATTTTAATGTTTGATAGTAATTTAGATGTCTAAAAAAACACGAAGAAATTAATTTGATGCTTGCTAGCAATTTAAATATTTAACTTTTTACAAATAATTTAGAGATTTAATATATGTTAAATACTATATTTATTAACACATTCATAGAGAACACATTAAAAAAAGTTTTAAACTATAAGTTTATTTACCCAACCAATGGTATTCTTTTAATATTGTAAAAGACAGTTAAGGTAACATCTTTATCAGTTTGAATCTAATTCATGAATGTAATTTGTAACTATTTTTAGATGGGTAATCTTTCTTACTTAAAGTTTAGGTTTCAAATTAAGATGGAGTAATATTTAAAAATTAATATTAAAGTTTTTTTTTTCATATATATACCACATATACACTTTTGCAAATCCTTGGGACTACCCATACGGATTACCAAGTTTTTCATATATATATATATATATAAAGACATTTTTTTATGTTTATACATTCTTTTTATAGATACAAATATTTAAGTAAATGCTCCGTTTATAATAAACAGTATTAAACAACAGTTACCGACCTGAATTTCAGAGAAATTTTCATAGAAAATATTCGTCCTCCGACAGGAATCGAGCCTGTATCCTATGCGAAACCGTCATATAGCCTGACGTGCCTTTAACCGATTTCGCCACAGAGGTACAGTAAAATCGGCCTTGCTAACCGAACGCGCCTCTGTTATATTGTTATACGTTATTTATATAAACACACATATTTAAGTAAATGCTCTGTTAATAATAAACAGTATTAACAATATTTAGCGCGGTCACTGTGACCTGTTCCCATGTGATTTCTGTTCATGGAGATATGTGAAGGGACTGGTCTATGTCCCCTCCCTTCCTGCTTGATGAACTCAAGCAGAGAACCACTTCTGTACTGGATAATGTTACCGGAAACATGCTACAACGTGTTTGACACGAGCTTAACTACCGACTTAACGTGTGCCGTGTCACAAGCATTGCACATATTAAACACTTATGACATTGGTCCCATAACAAACTTATGATATTCAACACTTAAACTCTTCTATTTCATTGAGGTAGACTTAGTAGTGTTGAAGATAATTGCTTTTAAAATGATGTCCATTTTTTTGCGGGGACAACCTATAGTTTTAGGACAACAAGGAAATGAAATTTTTCGTAGCCGAAATGTTAATGGTTATTCCATAAATTTCTTACTGCAGTGTGTTTTATCCTACGGGTGTATCCATAAAATTCTCTAACAACAACACGACTAATCTTTCGGCTTTACCAACTTCGAAGATAATTTGATGGTTAGATATTTGTTGGCCCTTAACCCCACAACACTGACCATAATTACTGACATGAAAAATTTTCCCGCTGGCTTTATTAAGTGAGAACGTCAGATTTGTCTCTTTTACGCTGAGCGAAACCGCCTATTTCTTGGCTGAGAATGTCACGCATGCGCATACCATTCGTCCATTGCTGGCCGGCATGTTAAGTCTAGACTTTTAAACACAGGGTCGAGGCAATTTCTCTCAGATCAAACTAGATCTTCCGATTAGCCTGCTGCTGCCAGTATATTTTTCTCTTGTCCATTGTAACAAGGAAAGGACAATCGATCAGACGTTTGAAAAGTCGATGGGTCAGACTGTTCGTG